TAGTATATAAAGTGGAACTGCAATGATATGGTCTGAATTCCTCCTTAACTCCAGAAGCCCCTCCTTCACCCCTGTTCTGAAGTGACTCAGATCTACACATATTGAGGCTGTCTCTTTAAATCCAAACGAGGCGTCACACAATGTCTTYAACAGCTAAAAAAGTGGATTTTGAATATGTCCCCTTTAAGATGAAATATGTTCTTTTAAGTTTAGACATATTGATGCTGGAGAATTACCCTTTCTAAACGCTCTTATAAATGACTTTATAGTTTACTTGCTTACAGTTTCTTCTCTACATTTTCTGCACTYGGTCTACTTCCACATACTTTGTAAGATTTTAATTCCTACTTAATGAAAATGCTTGTCTTGATCAAGTTTGAGAATCTGTAAATTGTACAGTCCTTKAAATACTAATCTGGATTTACAAAATAAATTGTAAATACAAACACATAATGTCTGAGAAGTAAAGATGGGCAGAGGTTTACCAGTTTGCAAAATACTGTCTAAAACTACAGAAACAATTTAAGAATAATGAAGAATTTAAATATGCCATTATCTACAGTTTATAATCTCATCAACAGATTATTATAATCTGTATTAATCTCTACGTTCAAAGGCTGAAAGTCAACATTGGWTGTGATCTTTGGGCCCTCAGGGGCCACTGAACACTTCCACACATCATCTGTAAACACAGTTCACCCTGCCAYCCATTAATGCTGCTTAAAGCTCTATCACACAGAGAAGAAGCATTTGTAAACTCTGCTCTAAAACAGACTGTTTAAAAAGGACAAAGTGGGAAACCCACATCAGAGTCAGTTTTCTTTTTAAAGCTCTGTCCTAGAGACATGTTGATTGTTTCCTCTTCTTCTRCAGTCCGTACATCTCTGTAGTCATTTGTTCAGTTTAGATTAGAAGCATCAGATCCTTCATCGTTTCTGCACAAACTGTAGTTTTATGAACAGCTGCAGATTTACTGACAAGGTGAAATAMGCCTGAGAGCTCTGGGCCTTTGTTTCAGTGTGCAGTGTGGCAGGTCTGAGTCCACTGCCTTCTCTTCTCRGCAACAAACAGCAGGTTTCTGGGGGAAGCCTGCTGGAGGATGAGGGAGGGAGGGAGGGAGGGGGTGACTGCATGGACGTGAGAACCCCTTGCAAACCCCCCATCTGCACGTCATGGAACATTTGCAGAACAGGGACCTCCCACCTTAAAGGCGTGCAGCCCAGCAGACTGTCCTGCACCGTCTGTGCGCCGCACAGTCTGTCCGGGCTGAAGGCTCGYGCCTCCCGCTGAGCCCTGCGGTCGAACGGAGGTAAACATGGCGCCAACAAACACCGGAGTGAAGGAGCAGAGGAGAAAAACTCACCGATCCCTGCGCGCTGACCGCGTCTTCACTGTGTTCTGCTGGCTCATCTGTGCCGACAGCTGCCTGCTGTTACACCTGAGGGCAGCAGGGGGCGTCAGAGAGTCACAACAACCACATATGTTCAGGTCAAATGTCAGTGGAGAGTAAAATGACACCAAATCTAAAATCTAGCACTCCTCGAGAAATGCACAACTGTGGCGTGCTGTTTGTAAAGTTACAGTCAAAAATTACCACCAATATTTTTGTTTTATTTAGACTTTTATAAGAAAAAAAGAACAGATTTATTTTTCAGTCAGTTTTTCACCATATGATTCATACATTTATAAATGTCATAGTTTATAATCTAAATATTTAACTT